TATTTTTAAAAATACATTTTTTTGCCAACAGAAATATTGCATAGTATATATAAACTTAAGTTTTTAACTTAAAAAATTTAGACTGATCAGAAGAAAGAAGCAGTTGCTCCTGTACAAGAAGAATCAGATCTCGAAAAAAAAAGAAGAGAAGCTGAAGCACTGCTTCAAAGCATGGGGCTAACTCCAGAATCCCCCATTGGTAAGGATAAGAATATATCCATTTGTACCAAATAGACATGTATTCCTATTCAGCTCAGATGTATCTGAGATGAGTGAGTTGACTTAATATAATTTATATATTTTTCTTATTTGTGTCTCTTAAATATTAATTTTATAATTTATTTGGATTTGTCTGTTTCCACATGTGCTAATTCATGGTTATTTTATTTGTTCAAAAGAGCTGCAAGATTAATTATGTTTATTAACATATACTGAACCACCAGTTAACTTTTCTTGTTAAATCAGTAATTTATTTCAACAAACATTTGTTGAACAAGTTTTTTCTGCCATACTGTATTAAGCTTAAAGATGACTTTGATTCCTGATCTTAACTCTATATTCTTTTCTGTAAGTTAGATAGAGGTATGATCAACCAGAGTTCTAAAAGTATATTAGTGTTCAAAGGTATAGGATTGGAAGGAGAAGCTTATAGCCAGTCTTCCGCTCTCAGTGCTAATAAGGAAAATAATATTGGTAGCTTATTTTGGCAGTGATTTGACCTAGTCTTGTTCTTTTCCTGTGTTATTCATTTTGATAGCAGTGCTAGACCAAAAACCTCAAATATTAGAGATACCGAGGACAATCTAGTTACATATCAAAAAACGTTAAATGCTTACTTAAAATAATTTTGATCTGGCTGTTGTTGTTACAGTGTATTTTAGTTTGACATTGCTGTTCTTTAGGGACCTAAAATTTCAAGGTTAGCTTGTGGGCTAATTCTATCTAGTCCAGGAAACAAATACCAGAGATAATAACTGCTATATGCCTGTTGTGAAAGTACTACGTAACTCTCCTTAGAGCTGATATTTCTAAAAGGTTTCAAGATGAGAAAGCTGATTATTCTCATGACCTGCTTTATTTCTTTGAGCTCATTTGCCTTTACCTTATCGGTAGAATTCAAAGATTGAAATACATTAATTTTTATATCTTTAATAAGCTTATGTTGCATATTGTAATTTTAAAAGTAAATGAATCAGAGCACTATTACCTTATTTAAAAACATACCAAGTTGTTTGCTAATTGTCTAGTCTCCGAGTGATCATTTTCTATGAGCCTTTGGCTTTTGTTTTTCTCCTGTAGGAATTTTTTTGCATTTTCTATTTTTTTAGGACATCAGTTTCACTGAATTTACTTGCTCCTATTTCTTAATTGATAACCCACCTCCATCATCAATTCTTGAAACCTCATTCTTTAGTTGCCTGTGTACGTGTGTTTGTTTCTCTCTCATTCCCCATCTCCAATTTCATTCTTCTTCCCAGTCTTACATTAAATATTCACTTTACATTTTTAACATATGTTCTTTTGATCTGTCCTACATACATTGACATTTTTCAAGGTTTTTTATATCTATGTGTATGTTTTATATACATAAATGTCACTGTACTGTATGTCTCATTTTGTTTATTCTTTTTGTCAAGCAGCATTGCTTGACATGTTGCTACATACAGGTCTAATTAGTTATTTCTGACTCATGCTTACTATTCTGTCATATACTGTACAATATTTTACTTACCTCTTTCCCACTCATAGGCACTTAAATTGCTTCTCTTTGCTATCGCAAGCAACACTGCAAAGAATATATTCTTTCCCACTGAGGACTGTGGAAGAGTTTCTGTGCTGTGTATGTCCAAAAAGTGACTTGCTATGTTATTGTGTATAGGCTTACTTAAATATATTAGGTTTTCCATAACACTCTCAAGAATGACTGCAAATGTTTACCCTCCCACTACTAGTGCATGAGAAAGTAACTATTTCACCATATTTCCATCATCACTTGATATTATCCAATTTTATCCATCTTTCTAAGTTTTGCCAACTTGATTAGGTATAATTCTAAAATGTTTTAATATACATTTATCTGATTACAGCAGGGTTGATCATTTCTTTGTATATCTGTTAACTTCAGATTTTTCCGTTCAATAGTCATATTCTTTGCCCATTTACTTTTGGGATTCTTTATCTTGCCAATTTGTAGGAGTTACTTATGTATTTTAGAGAGGTTGTCTTTGTTTTGTTAGTCTTTTCAAAAATGGCTGTTTGCAGTCTATTGTCAACTCTGTTTATAGTATTCTTCATTGAACAGAATCCTTCATTTTGATGTGATCAGATCTATCAGTTGTAACACTTTCTGTGCTTTTTGGGTTAAAATTCTTTCCTACTTTGAAGACACAAATATATTCTTTTACATTTTTCTATTACGTTTCATAGTTTTAGCCTTCACCTTTAGATATTTGGGTTATATTTTTGAATATAGTATGAGGTATGTATCCAAACTAATTTTTCTCCATATAGTTAGCTAATTTTCTCAGTATCATTTATTAACTAGTCCATCTTTTCCTCCGCTGATACATGATGCCAACTTTGTCATAACAGTTCCCATGTATTTATTCATGGGCATTTTGAGTCTCTGTATTTACACTATTGATCTATTTATCTGATTCTATACTATTAACCCACAGTTTTAATTACTATGGCTTTGTGTTATATCCTAGTTTCTGCTATAGAAAATCACCCCCTTTTTCCTCTTTTTCAAAACAACCCTTGCTTCACAAACGTTTGTCTTCCCCTCAAAAAAAATTAGCGTATTAAGTTTCCCTCAAAATCTTGCTACACCATACAATTGCATTTAGTTATAAGTTTTCAGTCTTTCTAGAAGATCCTCCACACATATAGTGCTTTTTGACCTAAGTCATTGACTTGTTAAAGAGAGTGGGCCAGTTGGTCTCTAGAAGGTTCCACCTTCTGATGGTTTTCTCACATTTAACTTTGTTTCTCTATCCTTTATATTTCCTCTAAAGTGAAAATTAGTTCCAAAAACTTGATTAGCTTCAGGTTGAACATCTCTGGCAAGGGTATCTCATAGATGATGCTGTGTACTTCATATTGTATCACATGAGTAGCAAATACGTGTGGTTGGTTATGTTTGTGATAGCCACGTCTCTCCATCATAGTTACATTTTTTTTCTCCTTGTGACTAGGAAGTAATATCTAGAGATGATACTTTGGCACCATATGAATATTTATTTTTCCATCAACTTTTCACCAAATAATTTTAATACTTATTTATGGTCCTTATTTAAATCAGTTATTTAATTAGGAGTTGCAAAATTGGTTTTGTAATTCCATCTTTTCTTCTACATTAATTGGCCGAAATTCTCCTGTAAAGGGGAGCGTTCCTCAGTAACTAGGACATTTGGTTACTTCGAAGCATTTCCTTTTAGAAAAGCAGGAGATGCTTAATTTTTAATTACTAACAGTCACCTGGAGGTGGCAGATGAGATTTTTAGTATATTTTTTAAATAGATTAGCTAATTATCAGAGAGATAAATGAAGAAAACAATCCTATTTATACTTGCATCAAAAATAAAACACTAGGAATAAATTGAACAAAAAAGGTTAAAGACTTATACTTGGAAATTATAAGACATTGAAGAAAGAATTTGAAGAAGATATAAATAAATGAAATCATATACTGTGTTCATGGATAGGAAGAATTAATATCATTAAAATGTCCATACTACCCAAAGCAATCTACACAGATTCATGGAATCCCTGTCAAAATACCCACGGCATTTTTCACAGAACGAGAATAATCCTAAAATTTACACGGAGGCACAAAAGTCCCTGAATAATCACAACAGTCTTGAGAAAGAAGAACAAAGTTGGAGGTATCACAATACTGATAACAAACTGTATTATAAAGCTATGGTACTTAAAACAGCCTGGCACTGGCATAAAAACAGGCACACAGATTAATGGAACAGAATAGATAGCCTAGAAATAAACCCATGCTTATATGGTCAATTAATCAATAACAAAGGAGGAAAGGATATGCAGTGAGGTAAAGACAGTCTATTCAATAGATGGTATCAGGAAAATTGGACAGATATATGTAATAAAAATGAAACTAGACCACTCTCTCACACCATATACAAAAACACAAAATGGAATAAGACTTAAATGTAAGACCCGAAACGATCTAGAAGAAAACATAAGCAGTAAACTCTCTGACATTGCTGTTAATATTTTTTCTGATATGTCAACTTGAGCCAGAGAAACAAAATAAACAAATGGAGCTACATCAAATTGAAGTGTTTTTGCACAGCAAAGGAAATCATTAATGTACTGAATGGGAGAAGATACTCACCAATATACATCCAATAAGGGGTTAGTATCCAAAACGTATAGAGAACTCATACCACTCAACACCAAAAAAACCCAGCAATCCAATTAAAAATGAGGCAGAGGACCTGAATAGACATTTTTTCAAAGAGGATATACAGTTGGTTAATAGACATATGTAAAGATGCTCAAAGTCACTAATCATCAGAGAAATGCAAATTAAAACCACCATGAGATATTACCTCAACAACTGTCAGAATGGCCATCATCAATAAATCAACAAAAAACAAGTGTTGGTGAGGTTGTGAAGAAAAAGGAACCCTCATGCACTGTTGTTAGAACTGCAAATTGGTGCAGCCATTATGGAAAACAATATGGAGGTTCCTCAAAAAATTAAAAATAGAACTACCTACCATGTGAACCAGCAATTCCACTTCTAGATGTTTATCCAAAGAAATCCAAAACACTAATTTGAAAAGATATATGCACCCCTGTGTTCATTGCAGCATTATTCACAATAGCCAAGATATGGAAGCAGCCTAAGTGCCCATCAATAGACAATTGGATAAAGAAAATGTGGTACATATATACAATGGAATATTACTCGGCCATAAAAAATAATGAAATCTTACCATTAGCAACAACATGGATGGACCTAGAAGATACTATGCTAAGTGAAGTAAGTCAGGGAAAGACAAATACCATATGATCTAACTTATACGTGGACTCTAAAGAACAAAATAAAACATTCATAGATGCAGGGAACAAGCTCATGGTTGCCAGATGGGAGGAGGTTTAGTGAGTAGAGTGAAAAAGATGAGGGGATTAGGAAGTACACATTGGTAGTTACAAAATAGT